GGAGCAAGAAGCTACTAGGGGCTCCTGGCCTCGCTACTAGGAGCAAGGACGCTACTAGGGGCTCCTGGCCTCGCTACTAGGAGCAAGGACGCTACTAGGGGCTCCTGGCCTTACTACTAGGAACAAGACGCTATTAGGAACAACGTTTCTTCGGACTCGTGCGATTTGCAGGATGCCCGTCGGAAGGAGCCTGGATTCGAGGCGCAGAAAGCCACTGTTGTTTACAGCAAAATTACTGCTTCTTCTCCTGGTATGTGAGGCCACAGTGCTTGCCAGTTACCTGGAGATTTGCTCAGAGTGGAAAGCTTTTGCTGGATGGCTCGTATGACTTGCAGACTAGCGGCTAGCGGTACAAAAAAACGTAGATTTGCAAGCCTGCAAGAACTCAAAAAAGGACAGATTGTCTTGATTCAAGTTGTTATATAAGGAGATCTACAATGAGAAGATTTACGACCTTCTGGCAGGCAGCAATTCCATGTAGAGAAAGCTTCCCTCGCATAAGTGCCACAAGTGGGAGGTGGCGATGGAGGTGAATTGCTGGTGTGTCAATCTCAAATTAAACGGAGCAAAGACAAAAGATACAAAAAGAAGGTAAAGGGCCTCTTTAGTAAGGCTCCCTCAAAAGGGGTCTTGTTAAAGATGGGCCCTTTACCATATTCTTTTTAGCGTTGTTGTTGTTTTTGTGGACACGAGGTGCTTAAACAAGGAACACCACCGAGGCGAAACCATCCCGACCTTGGGCCCATCGTTCCACACCTGACAGAGTGTCCTGTGGAAAGTTTTCAGGAGGCGTGGAAAGCTAAGCAACACATTGGACAATCGAAAAATTGTGCATTCTTGATTTGGGGAGGTGTAGGTGACTGAACAGGGCTAGGAAAGGTGTAGGCTACTGACAGAGGAGGCAGAAGCGCTAATAGCCATGAGAAACCTAATCCCTAGTAGCGATGGCCTCCAACCTACTAGCGATGGCCTCCAACCTAATAGCGATGGCATCCAACCTAACAGCCATGGCCTCCAACCTAAGAGCAATGGGCTCCAACTTAATGGCGATGGCCTCCCTCTCCACTAGAGGGTTTCTTCGGGAGCTTCCATGAAGAACTCTTCGCTCCTTTTTCGTTTTGGCTCCTAGATTTTTAGTCTAACTTTACTCCTCTCCTTTTTCCGTTCTTGATTCCTTTCTTTCACGCATGTGATAGAAAACTCAACTTCCTGAGGTCTTCCGTTCCGTTTTCAATGAATGTTGCATTCAGAGTGACAGAGACAGTTGGAAAAGATTCATGCAGCTGCCCTTCTGTTCTTGTCAGGCACATGAGCTACTCGACTTCGGCGCGAAGCGTCGTGCCGTGGGTGCCACCCAAATGAACGCCACATCTTCCAGGCGAAGTCTGATACAGTTCACGTAAAACAAGAGTAAATGTACTAGTGATGACCTCCAACCTACTACAGTACATAAAACAAGAGTCAAGACAGTCTTGCAGTCTGCAATTTCTTTGTGAAACTACAAGGATTTGCTTGCTGCATGTCATGCTGCATCACATTTGATATGTGTTGCACAATGTTTGAACACAGTTTTATTAGTGAATATTTTTGGACGTTTCCAATCAGCTTGCTACATCACATAATGTCATCTAGAATGTTTACTAAACGAATGCGACACACCTGTCATGGGAACTTGAATGGATTTGAATGATAAGCTCAAGCTTCATTCTTCATTCGACACTGTAGGAAGGATTAATTCTGCAGCATTATTCTGGACACCAGACACTGTCCAATGAAACATACTGTCAGTCCAAAGACGGTTCTTTGGTGTTGCTATCCGCTTGAAGGTCACATGCGGTCTTCACCTTGCAGGCGCTGTTGTTCAAGATGTTTGAGGGAAGATCACTTTAGTTTCTTGCTACTAGTAATGCACTTGTTACTAGTAGTGATGCCCTTAATACTAGTAGCTTCTTGCTATGATTTGGAGAATCAGTGAATTCGGTAGGGATTGAAGGGAGTCTTCTCAGGTGCGGATGGTGACGTCTCGGCCTGGCGGACACACTGAGAGCCAGGTGAGTCGATGGGTTTACCGGTTGACCGTGTGGTGATGCCGTGAGAGTCGTCCGGTCCACATCGGGTGAGACGCCGGACAGGCGAAGATGCACTTCGTGGACTTGGCTGGAAGTGAAAGGCGTCCACTCGCTACGAACGGGGCTCCTGGCCTTACTACTAGGAGCAAGGACGCTACTCTTGGCTTTGCCTCGATTCCCTGCAGGCAGAAAAAGACCGGAGCGGCAGGCGAGCGACTCAAGGCATGGGCCGCATTTGAGCGACTGTGTGTCTTGTCTTTTAAAATGAATCTTTTCCCACAGAATTCAATCCAATGAGATGCAGACCTTTAAGTTGGATCAGTTTAGCCAGGAAGGAATTGGCATCAACTTGTCCTTGACCACCTTGGGGAGGGCCTTTACCCAAGACGAGACATGTTACATCTTCCAACACGTAGGACAGCACTCTATAGAGACTTACTGACTGACTGACAAAACTATGAGCTGTTGACTGGGTCACTGCCTGATCGAGCACCAAACTGTAAGTCGTTCATCGATACGATACTGTAGCTTCGCTCAGTTTGTCAGAGACTCTCAGCCATGCGCCGAGGTGATCTCTGAACTGACCAAGCCTGGTGCAAGGACATAGTTGGACGTTGTCTATCCTTGATACCCTTAGCTCAAATCCCAAGTGGTGATTTATGTGGTGGGACGGCCACAAAATAGTCAGTGGGATCTGAGCCAAGAGTCCTGAGGTGAGTATACAAGTTGTCTGTGCGCTCCAGTTCATTTGTTGGGTGAGAGAGAACAATTGGAGGAGTGTTCCTGCCTTTCGTGAATCCAAGCTTACACTCCTTCTAAAGGACAAGTATTTGTTGCATTGTTGCTTGTTGTGTAGCTTGCTTGCAGAACACATTCTTGCTTGTACAAGTATGGGTACTTAATTCCGAGACAAGGCTGTCTTGAAATTCAGGATGCTTTGATGGGCAACAGTCGCACGGAGCTTCTTGCATGCATCAGCCCGTCGCTGTACAACCTGGAGGAGGGCTGACTTGTCGGATGGTGGGAAGTGCAAGGTTTGCACTTCATTGGAGTCTTTGTTCTTCCTAGTAGCTTCTTGTTACTAATAGCAAGAATGCTACTAGTAGCAATGCCCTTTGTTACTAGTAGCGATGCCCCTGTTCCTAGTAGCTTCTTGTTCCAAGTAGCTTCTTTGTGTTCATGAGTTTGCCAGCCAAATTCCAGGAAACTGTGAGCACCCTGGAGTTCGCAGCCAGATGTGCCTTGTCTGGTCTGTGTGAATTGCAGTTCTCTATACTTGCCAAGTCGTTCCGATTGAGTTGAGCCACCACAAGGCTCTTCTTTCCTAAAGAGGATAAGAATCGCTGCCAAACACAACACACCTCTGCACAAAATTCCTGGTCGGAAGGCAAGCTTGTAAAGACGAGCGCCGTGAAGAATGAACAGAGCAAGGCACAACAGCTGTGTGATCCCTGCCATTTTGTTCTGCAATTGTGGACTTAATTGTAGAGTACGATTTAATTGTAGAAAACCAAGAGGATCCAAACTTTGCCCCTTGGAACTTAGACGAGAAGAGCATCGTCGCAACTATATTTTGCGTCTAGTAGTAAGGTGCCTTGCTACAAATAGCTTCTTGTTCCAAGTAGTAATGCCATGAGATACTAGTAGCTTCTTGCTACTAATTCGTAGCGATGCACCTTGTTACTAGTAGCTTCTTGTGGGACCTGGGCGAAGCTTGACATGGAGAGATGAACTTGCAGCTTTGGCACAAGCTGAATGTGACTCACCGGCCACTCATGGGTCCCAGTTGAAGTGAGTGCCACACAGATTCAGTTTTTCGACCCGACCGTGAAGAGCCTGAGACACTCAGATGTGTAGGACGAATATTGAACATAGCACCGCCTTTAGCACGCTTGACGCGGCTTCTGGTCAGAGACACACCACGCTTGATTTTGATACAGAGATAGCTTGGTTATCCATGGAATGGCGGGTGTCGCCACGTTGCTGTCGGTGAAGACTTGGCCACAAAGGTTGCCCTCTTGCATTAATCAGCCCAAGTTGCCAAGCCTTTTCAAACGAGTACGATTGAGGAGCTCAGGAGTCTTGGGTTGTCTCAGGCTGTCTTGGGTGGCCAGAAGTCTAAGAGAAGGAAGAAGAAGAAGTTAAGGGACCCTCTTTATAAGGCCCCCGACCTTCTTCTTTCTTCTCTTGGCCTTCCGTGTTTCTGATGCGTTTTGCGGTTTGTGCTTTGAGGTATGTAAGTCTTCGAAACAATCCTAGTGGAACGGTGAGTGGCTGGGATGGAGATCCTGGACCAGCAGGTCATCTCATTTTTCAAGATGCTTGGCTGCCTTGGCTGCCTTGGCGTTTGGAGACATTCGACTCCGAGACCGGGTTTCGCGGCCTTTTTGCCGCTTCAGGGACGAAACGTGTGTCGAGAGCTGGGGAGTCATTTTGCTGTATGTGTTACTAGTAGTAAGAATGCTCCTAGTAGCGATGCCAGGAGCCCCTAGTAGCGTCCTTGCTCCTAGTAGCGATGCCCTTTGCTCCTAGTAGCGTCCTTGGTTTCTTTGTTTTATTTGTTTTGGTTGATTTCCCCAGCTTAGGAGAGGGAAGGCCACTATCTCATCTCAACAGAGCACTTGCCACGCAACTTCTTTCGGCTCGTGAAGGACACCAATCAATCAGCTTGATCCGGGCGTAGTTGTCGCCGCCATGCCTTGATTTGAGTTGCTTGGCAAGTGTTTGTTTGACATTGACCTCGAACTTACTGGATGAAAATAAACCTGGGATAAGCAACCCAATTGCAAGAGCAAGGCACAAGGGTAGGAATGAGTTGAATGGAGATAGAAGCATTTTTATTTTTACTTCCTGCTTGCCTTTTTTGTACCTTTTTGGTGGCCTTTGTGGGGGCTATTCGATCATTTTCTTTGCAACGTATTATATATCCCATCCAAAAGGCTTCCCCAGAGCCACAATGGACTGCGTGTCACCGGTACTCCAACCAATGGAGTAGTTTTCTCAAGCGGATGTGTTTGGGTGTGCAAGCTAAGCTGCAACCCAACCAACTAACAAGTACTATAAAGGTAACTTGGGGCTTCGCGCCTCAATTATATAGGACTGCGAATTGAATGTATTTATATAGGAGGATCGGATTGGTTGTTGAACAAAGAAATGCACAAGATACTTCAAGATACTGTAGTATTAACATGATACTTGGAAATTGCTAGTGCAAGGCAACAATGCATCGGAATGGGATGTACTGAGATTGTGGTGCAAGCACAGCTAGCCAACCATTTATAAATAGCCAAGCAGCAGTCAGGCAGCAACGTTCTGTTGCGTGCACAGACAGATGCTTGCAAAAATGGCTCAAAGCTTCCTGTGTTCGGGAGGATCTGCAGCTTTGTTTGAACAACCCTTAAGTGCTTCTTTTCCACAAGCAAGACTGGTTTCTTGCAGGATGAATTTGGCAGCTATTTGCATGCTATTGGAAAGCGCGGAGAGCCTGGCCGTGCGGGCCAATTCGTCATCGAGGACTCTGGAGAAATATACAACAGAGACAGACTTTGCATGAAAACGGCCTCCACCCGATGGCCTCCCTAAAAATTTGTGCAGTAACAAGTGCCTCGCTAGTAGTAACAGGTGCCTTACTAGTAGTAACAAGAAGCAATTAGAAACAAGTGCCTTACTACTAGTAACAATAAGAATACCGACTTTGCATGACTGTGCTGGGTCTTATTTGCTGTTCGCTGTTTCTGACTTTAGAGGAGATGCCTGGATACTTGCTCATATCATCCAAGCAGTGGCCGGAATGGTTTCTCTTTGTGGTTACTTGGTTACCTGAAACCGGTGTTTGCTATTTTCGATGATCTTGAAACACATAAAACAACAACACTGCAAATCCATGTTTGTAGCAGTGTTTGAGCCTGACACTCAGGATGAGCTTGGCAGGCCTCTTGATGGCACTGAAGCATCCCAGCGCACTTCGACTTTGCACACAAATGTTGCAGGTTGCGCGCAGAACCTGGTGATCCTGGCAGCAAAGGGCATTTCCTCTTGAACAGAAAGATTCCACAGGCACAGTATGTTGCACAAAGAACATTGGGAGCAAGAAGCTACTAGGGGCCCCTGGCCTTACTACTAGGAGCAAGGGCCTTACTACTAGAATTAGTTCTGGTTGAGTTGACGCGCGTGGAGCACAGGACTCAGATGCACCGGGGTCAGGGCCCAAAGTATGCAAAAACTCCATGTGTCTTTCGTGTAGAGACGGTTTCACTTAGGCTTCCGCCAATCATCCAAACCATGCAGCTTGATTGCAAATGGACAGAGAGTAGCTTGTGTATCAAAGGCCATCGCTTTTAGGTTGGAGGCCATCGCTAGTAGGTTGAGCAAAAAAGAGCGCAAAAGGACGATGGAGCAAAGGTATGTTTCTACTAGCTTCTTGTTACTACTAGTAAGGCACTTGTTACTACTAGCGTGGCACTTGTTACTAGTAGCTTATTGTTTCTACTAGCTTAAAAGCCATAAAGCAAAGGTACCTTATCCACAACAAAGACCGTGAACATGCGGCAGCTATGTCATTGCTCAGCAATCAAAAAGAAGAGGCATGGGTTGTGTTCACCGTCCTCAAGCGGTGTTTGGAATCAGGGACATAAGGCTAAAAGGAAAATCTATGATAAAACAATTTCTTGTTTCACTTGGGAAAGAATGCTTGCAATTCAAGAGCATTTTGTCGAATCTCGTCTTGGCATGTCAGGTGCGCGCGCGTGAAGTGGCGGTGCTAAATGCACAGATGGCCAGCGAGCGTGCCGCCTCCGAGGCGACCCTCCACGATACCAACCGACACTCAGCCCAATGGGTAGGAGCAATGTTCGCTACTAGGAGCAAAGGGCATCGCTACTAGGAGCAAGGATGCTACTAGGGAGCAAGTGATGGCCTCCAAGCTAAGACCGACGGCCTCCAACCTAAGAGCGATTGCCTCCAACCTAGAAGCGAAGGCCTCCAACCTAAGAGCCATGGCCTCAACCTAAGAGCAATGGCCTCCGACCTAGATTCGATGCCCTTGAACCTAGAACCGATTACCTCCAACCTAAGAGCGATGGCCTCCAACCTAAGACCGATGGCCTCCAACCTAAGAGCGATTGCCTCCAACCTAGAAGCGATGGAATCGAACCTAGAAGCGCTGGCCTGCAACCTAAGAGCGATGGCCTCCAACCTATGACCGATGGCCTTCAACCTAAGAGCTATGGCCTCCAACCTAAGAGCAAAGGCCTCCAACCTAGAAGCGAATGCCTCCAACCTAAGAGCGATGGCCTCCAACCTAAAAACGATGGCCTCCAACATAAGAGCGATGGCCTCCAACCTAGGAGCGATGGCCTCCAACCCAGAAGCGAGGCCTCCAACCTATATAAGAGCGATTAAATCCAAACTAAGAGTGATGGCCTCCAACCTAAGAGCGATGGCCTCCAACCAAAGAGCCATGACCTCCAACCTAAGAGTGAATGCCTGCAACCCAAGAGCGATGGCCTCCAACCTAAGAGCGATGGCCTCCAACTTAACAGCGATGGCCTCCAACCTAAGATCAATGACCTCCAACCTAAGAGCGACGGCCTCCAACCTAAGGGCGATGGCCTCCAACCTATCCGAGATGGCCTCCAACCTAGAAGTGATTGCCTGGAACCTAAGAGCAATGGCCTCCAACCTAGAAGGGATGGCCTCCAACCCAAAAAAGCCTAATCTACTAGCGCTCCAACCTACTAGGCATGGCCTCCACCCTAGAAGGGATGGACTCCAACCTAAGAGCAAAGGCCTTCAACCCAACAGCAATGGCCTCCAACCTAGATGCGATGGCCTCCAACCGAACAGAGATGGCCTCCAACCCAATAGCAATGGCCTCCAACCTAGAAGCGATGG